TGTTGGACAATCTAATTCCTTGTGAAATTTTGTTCAAATTACCACCTTTTTGTGACCATATAAAGGTTTTTGGGTCTTTATGCTTTGTTCTTAAATTTGTTCCTAATAGAAAGAAATTTTATCCAAGGGCTATTCCATGTGTTTTTCTTGGATATCCTCATAAAATTAAAGGATACAAGGTTTATGACCTTATTTCTCATAAGGTCTTGGTATCTAGTGATGTTGTTTCAATGAAACTATCTTTTCTTTTTCTTTTATTTCTTCTTGATTTTCTTCCCCATAAGACTTGTTTTCATTGATCTCTAATTCCTTTACATCCAATTTATTTGATTTCACTAGGATTCAACCTTCTTATTTATTTTTTCCCCACCATTCTTCCGTTCGGATTATTGATATTCCTATAGACACTCATATGAACTCCATTCCTATGTCACCTCCATTAGTTTCTTTTGAGTCTTCTTCTTCTTCTAGTTTTTTTTTCTTTAGCTTCTCCTACATCCTCTAATTTTAATCCTCTTTCTCATGATATTTCTTCTTCTACATATGTTCTTTTAAGAAATCTAGTAGAATTACTAAGATTTCTACCTATTTAGAAATTTATTATCTTTCTCTTTCATCCATCTATTGTTTCTCACAATAACCTCATTTACTCTACTACATATCCTATTCATCATTATTTGTCTATTTCTTAACTTTCTCCTTCACATATTGCTTTTACTACTTCTTTATATAACATTTTGAACCCCAAACCTATTCCTAAGTTATAAAATTTGAGCACTAAGAAGAAGCTATGTAATCTAAGTTGCTAGCTCTTGAAGAAAACAATACTTGGCTCGTTGTTCCTTTGCTCGTAGGTCATCACATAATGGGATGCAAATGGGTTTATAAGGTTAAGCTTCGGGCCGATGGCAATAATGAAAGATATAAGACTAGGCTTGTTGTAAAAGGTTATAGTTAGGTTGAATGATTTGATTACCAAAAAACATTTAGTCCTACTCGCTAAGCACACTACTCGTTCGATTATTTCTAGCCTTGGTTGTCATTAAAGGTTGGTACCCTCAATTAGACATTAATAATGTCGTTCTATATGGTGATCTAGAAGAAATAGTATTTATGGATCCTCTTTACGGTTACTAGTTTAAGGGGAGGATATGAATCATTCATAGAAATTGGTTTACAAATCATACAATTCCTTGTATGGTTTAAAATAGACTTCTAGGAAATGGAATGCAAGGTTCATCGCTACTTTGGTTGAGTTTGGTTTTCAACAATCCAAGATAGATTACTCTTTGTTTATAATGAATACTGATTTTCAGAATTTTTTTACCTTATTGGTGTATGTGAATGACATTGTGATTGTAGGAAACTCTTATTTTGACATTCGTCGCTTTAAAGCAATTCCTTGGCATGGAATTTAAGTCCAAAGGCCTTGGTTCTCTTAAATATTTTCCGAAAATTGAAGTAGCTAGCTCGGTAAAAGTGATTGCTATTTGTTAGAGAAAATATATTTTGGAATTATTGAATGAGTGTGGTTTCACCGATTCTAAACTTGTCTCTACTCTTATGCACCCTAAATAAAAGCTACAACATGTTTCGGAGAATCTTTTAAGTGATCCTACTAAATACGAGTAATTAGTAGGTAAACTTTTGTATCCGATTTTCAGCAAGCTCGATATATGTTATGCGAGTGCATATTATTGCTTTGTTTATGGATAAACTAGTCTTGCTTCATCTACAAGATGCACATAGAATGCTTATATATTTGATGAATGCACTTGGACAAGGTTTATTATTTTCGGTTAAATTTTCTCTTTTGTAAAAAATGCTTTTTAGATAATGATTGGTCTAGATGTCTTGAGACTAGAAAGTCGAGTTTCGGGTTTTTGTGTTTTCTTGGGAAGTTTCTTGATTATATAGCAATCTAAAAGGCGGGGCTTAGTAGCTTGTAGTAGCACGAGAGGTAGAGTATAGGGCCATGACGGTTGTTACATGTGAGATTATGTGGCTTTTGTTCTTGTTGTAGGATCCGGGCATTACACATACACAATCAACTTTGCTTTTCAATGATAATCAATCCACTTTACATCTTTGTAGAAATCTAGTCTTCCATGAAAGAGCTAAACAAATTGAGATCGATTGCCACTTGATTCATGAGAAGATCATTTCGGTTTAATTCAACCATATCACTTGCCCACTGACCAACAACTTGCATATGCTTTCACCAAAGCTTTGTAGCCCGAGATTTTCCATGGTTTGATTAGCAAAATGAGTATTAACAACATTCATACTTATTTTGAGGGGGTATCAAAATATTAATTAGTACCATGTGTGCAAATTGCTATAGTTAGTCCCACTTATGCAGGTAATTAGTAAGCCTTAATTAGTTAAGCTTATTAGTTTGTTAAATTAGCTAGAAAATTAGCTTACTGTTAAGGTGTATATATACACTAATGGTAGAGGTTAGTTGAAATAAGTAAAGTTGAATCAAAACACAAATTTTACTCAATTTTCTTCTTTCTTCTCTCTCTCTCTCTCTCCTTCTCTCTCTCTAGGGTCAATATCAAATTTTCTTATGCTTCTCGATTTCAACAGGATGATATATATATCTATATATAGTGGTGAATTCTCGTTAGATGATCAGTCTAATAGATCAAAATTTATCTCTCATGAGTGGACCATTCTCGCTAGTTATAAGTCCAGATTGCCACATGGCATCAGAATCTGTTATGTTCAAGAAATATTCTCTGGTATCATCCACATAAAAGCACACCCTCACAAAAGGTCACCTCACTTGTTTAATGGAAGGTAGGCCTTTTGGTTTAATTTATATAAACTATGTTGACATTAGAATGCTTAAGTTGATGATGTTTTCTTATTTAGTTTTAAATAAGATTCATGGTTTAATTAATTTCAATTCCATTTTGATTCTTGTCCACAAGAATGTGCTATTGGTTTAGAAGTGCATAGACTTCTGACTGAGTATAAGAAATATACTGCATGACAGTTCGAATTTGCAGAAAAATACAAGGTTCAATTGTCAAAAACCCAATTTAAATTATACTCTCAAATAAAAAGCCAAAAGATCTCCATGGCTTAGCTGTCAGTCTAAGAAATGGCAGCAAACGATGCATGCTAAGTTAGCACAAGAGTAAATGAGATCGAATAGACTTTATGTAAAGCTGCAAGCAGTGCAGAAAGACACAGATATGCATTACTGCATAGCACAGCTCTACTAAGTATTTAAGAGAAATCTGAACATGCAGGGATGAAGCTGTCAAAGGAATCCAAGATATATAAACATGTGTCCCAAAGCCAAACTATATGCAATATCATGAATAAGTATAGGCTTGGTAATTACCATGTTAAATCATGATGAGGTTGATATAAATGTATTGACAACAACCACAAGAGATTTGTGCTACAGTTTAAGATGAACAGAAGACCATTTTATGAATACAACTATCAAGAAACAAGAGGTCAGGAGAAACAAGAATTTAGTTTCTAATAAATAATCAAATTTATTTTCTTCCTTTCCTGTTTCTCGATGTATGAACACTGAACTCTGACTGTTTGGTATTACTGACAAGAAGTACTTGAATATGTAAAATCTTGGAATCCAGAACAGATTGTCAAATCTGTCCAAGGTTTCACCCGCCTTCCTCTTGGCATTAATCAAAATACAAGAAAATATACAATCAGATAAAAAATCATGTAAACAAACAAATGATTACTTCTAAGTCAGTTAAGTTCCACTCACTTTACAGAGTATAACAAAATTTCATATTGGTTGTTGAAGTATGACATAAAATGACAGCAAACGGTTTATACATATGATAAAGAATGATGATTTAGCATTTTCGGCTAATGATATGAGTTGGGATGTATAATTTGTCTGCAATAACAATACCTACCTACAACCATCAAAATTCCAATGCCAACCCCAATTAATTTCAATCGATTTCATTATCAACCACTTAATATTAGTATGAATAGGAGAAGAAAAAACACATTAAATAAGCAGTACGTACTGCCATGCTTTGGACTTTTGGTAGCTAGAATGAGATTTTCATGTTGTTACTGTGATACCAGCAGTATCATTCTTTCGTTCTCTCAACACATAGAAGAGTTTGATACTACGTAAAGGGAGCTTCTCTCTTGGACGAGTCATCTGATGGCAACCTTATAATTATAATTAGCAGTAATTTTTGGATTGAACCGAGATTCATGAAACAAACTCCTTATTTTGCAATATCTAGAATAGTAAATTTAATTAAGCTTGTGATGAACAGAATAAAGCACAAGAAAAAGACAAGTTACAGGATTTCAGTGTTTCTATACTAGTCAAGTAAATCAAGGAGTGGATATGAAAAGGACATATCCAAGTTGATGTAAATGGGCATCTTAGAAAATGTAGGGGAATATTATGTGATACCATAACATTCGATATGCTAACAACACGTGCTTCGTTGTGAATTTTGCTAATAATTTATCATGTCCAAGTCCAACAACAACAGCTACAATGCAGACCACTACACAAGGTACATCTCTGCAGTAAGAACAATGAAATTCCCGGATGCGCAGTCCCTTGTTTTGGATTGTGGCTGCTCAGATATTGGGATAATTCTCTGGATAAATTACAATAAAACAAGCAATTTTCATCTGATTTTGGATAGTCTGACTTAATATATATTCTTACAAATATTGTTAGGTGTATGACCTCTATACATACAAGTAGCAGAGCAAAACAAAATTTCTTTTATTCATTGCATTTCAAATATGCTGCCGCGTGCCAGTGTCAGTTCATAAAAAAAACTTAACCAAAACCAGAACTATTCATATGCACAACATCTGGCAACTATCTCTTTGTTCTTTTCCCAATTATTCGCTCTAGACAACATAAATGCCGATTTAAAACCATACCGAATACTGAAGCATGGGCTAAAAAAGCTACTTCAAAAAAAAAAAAAAAAAAAAAAAAAGCTGGAAACGAGGTAAGTTCATTACAGCCACCTCTTTCCACTGTTGGATGTCTTGAGCTTCATCACAAGTTCTTCACGTTTAGCTTCGACCTCAGCATATTTGAGGCTCATGTGGAAGTATCGCTCTTGAATATCTCTTAACTCTGATTCTAGTGATGATTTTGTGCGTTCAAATTTCTCTTTTGGTACGACTTCACCTTCAATTGTTGGTTTTCTAGGAGATCTTGTATAGTTTTTACGGCCCTCAGACTTCAACCTGCATCCAGACCAACCGCGTTTTAGAATTTGTTAACAAAAACATAAAAACTAGTTCAGACCTCATCCTTTGAAAATCTCAACTGAGTATGGCTTGGCTGGTTAAAAATGAAAAGGAATTTGATGGCTGTACTCATATACTCACCTTTTAAGCTGATGTTTATATGAATTATTTTCTTCCAAAGCCTTGGCCAGATCTTCCTCAAGTGACCGAATTTTCGAGGCAGGATCAATTCCATCAGGATGACTGCCATCAGGAATTTTGTAACCATAATCACCCTGTTCTTGAAAGAGTTAGATAATGTCACAGGAAATTGTCTTGTGTAACCAGCATCCTTCAGAAATTGAGACAGTTGAATATCGAAACAAAATTAAAAAAATTCTATGGCAAAGGTTAGATGTAGAACTTAAAACAGAACTGAACTCCATACTTCTTGCTGTTGGTTGCTGCAAGAATTCTTCCTCTCGGAGTCCCCCTGTTTCTGCTGTTGTTCCTTCAAGAATATCAGCTCTTCTTCAAGGGATCGAGTTCTTGTTAAGCATGCAAGTTTATCATCCTCGACTTGTCGCATCTGTTGCTGAAGGTGCTTGTTTGCTCTCTTGATCCGGGTGAGCTCACTGTTAATCTCTGCATACTGTTCACAAAAAGCCTCCTTCGCCATTAGGTCACCTTCCCTCCGCAGAAGCTTTTCTTCTAAGGCAAGTATTTTCTGTTTGCTGTCCTCTAATTCAGACACGCCCTTCTGCAAGATAGCGATCTTCTCAATAAATGAACTCCTCTCTATCCTCAACTCTTTGCACTCTCCAGATACCAGGCAGAATGAAGCTTCTAGTTTCTCTTTCTCAGACTTAATTGCATTGAGTTCATTCTTCAAAGCCACAACTTCATCCTGAAGAGATCCTATCTCCAGCGATTGAACCTTCAATTTGGTTGATTCTTCCATGACTTGTTGCCGTTCATACTCAGAAACTGTCAGCTTTAGTTCAAGATTGCTAAGAGTGGTTTTAAATTTTTCTTCACATGATTTGTAATTCGTCAACAGCTTTGACATTCTTCCGTTGTCAACCTTCAACATTTCTTGGTTGTGTTTGGATGCAGCAAGTTCATCCATCAAGTTTTGAACCTTTGTGTTGGATTCAACCTGTGCAGTATTGAGTTCCGATTCTAGCTTGGCTATGACTGCACATAAACCAGACACTTCATCCACAGCTTCAGAAGCTATTCTCTCTCTATCCAATTGAATTGCAGAAAGTTGCTTGGCAAGATCTCCTACCTCTCGTTGAAGATTCTCAACTTCAAACATCTTCTCCAAATACATCTGGTTTAGTAAACTATATCTCTTATTCTGTTTTCCATTTTCCTCAAGAAGTGTGTCCAAGTCTGCAGTTAGGTTTTTCTCTTTTGAGGCACTATCTTCCAGAACTGAAGATATATTTTCTTCTAAAGCCAGCACTCTTCTGGAACAATCAGCAAATCTTCTATCTGACTCAGTCAATCTTGCCTCCAAATGGGTACAGTGCTGTTGCAACTCTAATTTCTGCTTTTCGAACTCTCCATTTGATTTCTGAAGTGAACTGCATTCCTGCATAATACTTTCAGCACTAGCTTGCAACTTAAGATTGTCTCTTTTCAGATAATCACATTCTTCTTGAGTTTCTGACCATTGATCATGCAGTTGTTGTAGATTTTGTTTCATGTCAATCCTTTGAGTCTCCACTTCATTTGTCAATCTTGCAACTTGATCTTGAAGAATCCGCACATGAGTTTTAGAATTCTCTAATTCCAATCCAGTTGACTCCCTCTCATCGGTCAATTGCGTTAGTTGACCTTCCAAGACAGTTATGTGTGCAGACAACTCTTCATTTTCTTGCTTTAGCTCTGATAATCGGATCTCCAACTCCTGTTTACTACTTGCTAGCTCTGAAGATCTCGTTTCAAGAATTTTATTGGCAGAAACATGCGAATCCACACTGCTGCTAAGTACCATTAAATCTTTTCTCAAGTCATTCAGACACTTTGTAGCAATACCACCTTCCCTTGTCACAATTTCCATTCTTTCTTCTATCTGGCCTTTTTCATTATGAAGAACGGAAAGCTTGGCTTCTAATTCTCTTTGATACCTTTGAAGATTCCCATTCTCCTCTTCTTTTGACAGCAAACTGGCCTGAAGTCTTTCTATCTCAGCCCATTTTTCCCCGAGTTCCATATTAAGTTCTGCAACTTCAACTTCCAGCTGCGATTTCAGGATCTCAATTTCTTGTACTGAAAGGTTGTGATCATTTTCAATCTCCCTGAGCAATTTCTTCTTCATCTTCTCTTCGAGTTTTTCCATTTGTGAATCTTGATTGTTCCCTTCGGACATGAGACTGGTAGAAGATAAAACTCCATCTGTTGAACTATCTATTGTTTGCTTAAGTTTGAGCAACAACTCAAGGTTTTCATCTGTCAACTCCTGGCAGTCGTTTTCCAGCTCCTGCAGCTTAACTTGTAATTCTTCAATTTCTCTGATTAGATTTCCATCACCTCCGGTTATGGACTCCATTTTTGTGGAATAATGCTTTTTTTTCAGCGCCTCTGATAGCTTTGCTTTCAAACTGACTATTTCTTTTTCCTTAGCAGTTAGCTTGCATTTGTATTCAGTCTCCATTTCTAAAAAATTTCGGTCGTTCAAACTCTGATTTTCTGTGTCTCGTTTTTTCTCCTCCAGGGCCTGTTCGAGTGCTTGTACTTTAGCCTGCAAATTTTTCTCTGATTCTTGCAGTTGTTGAGTGTGGAGCATTAAGTTCCTGTTCTTCTCTAAGTTTATCTGGATAGAATTTTCCATATCGCTGAATTTTGACTGGAGAGCAGAGAGATTCTCTATCTCATTTTTTTGCTTTTCAATAATTTCTTCAAGCTCCTGAAGCACAGCTACAAGCTCAACATTCGACTCTTGACTCCTCTTCAACTGGAGACCGAGATTAGCATTGGATTCCTTCTGAAACATAACATCATTTTCTAATTCCTTTATAAAGTGGGTTGCACCTTCATCTTGCAATGTGTAATCCTCCACCGCTGCTGGTTTCGATGTTGATTTCTCTAACAGTTTCAATTGTTCAACTTCCTTTTGCAACCCATCACATTCTGCGCATGCTGCTGACAGCTCCATGTACAAATTTGCCTGGTTTTTAGACTGCTCCGAGTAATCCTTCCTCAATATTTCCAAATCAAGCATCAGTTTCCTGGCATTCCTCTCCCACATCTTAGCCTCATTACGAAGTTCTTCGATTGTATCTTCTGCCGCTTCCAACAGGCTCTTAGAAGAACCTGAAATTCTCAAAGGAGATGCAGCAAACTCTTGTGGGTCTTCTTGCGAAAGGTTTTCCGAATGCCTTATCCGTGATTTAAATGATGAATGATTTGATTCAGATGGATTATCTACAGGATATCTCCCTTGTGGAACACTGTTCAGGGGGTGCTCATCACCACTTAATTTGTTTGATGGCGAGAAACTGTCCCTTTCTGTGAAACCCTCTGCGGTGTCATAGCTGTGATGTGAATCTGAGTTGGAGAAACTGGCTTCCTACAGTGAAGGATGATGTTTTGTTAGTTTAATGAGGAAACAAGGGAAAAATAGACGTTGCTGAATGTTGACATACAGAAACTGCAATTATACGCACCGTCTTCCCACGTTCATGCCGATGTGCGGTGTAGCTCAAATCTGTACTTGAGTAAGATCCTTCAATCTTTTCGGTTAAACTATTATTAAACTCCTCTGACTTGATCTCCACTTCATGAGACCGAGTGTCTACATTTATATCTTCCTTGTGGGAATATGTCTCCTTTGATTCGTCATCCCTGCAAATTGTGTATATTGAAAAACATTTCATGAACAAGTTAACTAATAGAGAAATCAAAACATCTAAAAAGAATAGAAGGGAAAACAACAAAAACCTGATTAGTTTTGTTCTTGGTGTCAGGCATTGAATCTTGACCTGAAAAATAATTCTATAAATCAGATAACTGCTCAGATTACTATTATTAATGTTAGCATAGGACTAGTGTACTTCAACTGCTCCAACCGAAATGCTAAGTGATTAAACGATTGCAATTTTGTTTACCTTTTTTTTTTAGTGAAAGAAAGAAAGAAAAAAGAAACGAACCAAGCCACTAACTTCTGCATGAGAGCTCAGCAGAAGGCAAAAGCAATGTAACTAGATGCCATGTTGCCTATGCAAACTCACAAATTAAAAAATTGATTCGAAATATTTCTTGAAAATGTTTAGATTTTTTCATCTATAATTTGCCGAACTTTCATTAGGAAAAACTTACTTTTCTAGTTTCTGCTTCTTCAAACCACACTCCAATCTAATAATGTATCATCAAAATTTAGACGACGTGTCACTGAAATGAAGAGAGCAGAGTAGTCCTCTGGTTAGCTGCATTTGACAATTCCTGATTCCTCTGCTGCGGGATGATGTGTCGTCGGAAATTTATCCAACAATATAATCGATCCCTTTTCTATTGTTTTCTGCCAAATTTCCATCATCTATAATTTTTGGAGGAAACTTTTTTCGTTGCTTAAATGCAAAATTTGTTTTATATATTAAATTAAAATCTTCGCTGATTGCAATTTTTTTAAGGAAGACTATTACTTGCTGTTGATTATTGTTATATATACACATACACAATTGTTGCTTATATGCATGTTTCTCTTTCACTTTTTTATTGTTAGGTTTGACCTAAAGGCCAAGGCTTATAAATATAGAAAATATTAACAAAAATGTTTTTTTTTTAATCACAAAATAACTTGTTCAATTTAAAATATTTTACTGCTAGAAAATGAATCAAGCTAAAATAAAGTAGAAAGACAATAGTAATCACATGACAAAAAATTAGGTTGTTCAACAATTATCAATAAAACTAAAGTAAAACATAGTTTTACTATTCATTCACTATTTGAAACACTATTTACACACTCACAAATCACAATTCTTTTTACTATTCATGATATTTTTGTAACACTTTAGTCCTCAATTTTTTTATACTTTTTTTTTTCAATTTCAAACTTTAATTGTATTATGATTTGATCCTATTTTATTTTAGTATTTTTTAATTATTTTTATTATTTAAAATTTACTACTTAATTAGTCCTTTTTTTAAAAAAATTCTCTTTCGTTAATTCAATTTTAAACTTTAATTATACCGTAATTTGATCTCATTTTATTTTCGTGTTTTTTGTTAATTATTTTTATTATTAAAAATTTATTACTTTAATTTGTCATTTTTTTTTAAATTTTCATCCAATTAATTTAAAATCGTATTGATCGACAATTTTAATTTATTTTCTATGTATTTGAATTTTGAAATAAATTTTTAGAACATGATTATTTTTTGTTTTGAAAAATAGATTTAGATAACTTTTAAATTGTAGTGGCATAATTAATATATATATATATATAATTTTTATAAAATACATTTTTAGATTAAAAGTGTATTTCAAATAATTTTTTCTCGATTTTTTTAGAAAAAAAACTCAAATTAATTAATTAATAGTTGAAAGTCAAATTAATATAGTTTTTTATTTTAATATTATTCGTTCTTTTGTAAATAAATATATAAAAATTAAATTCACTTTTTTTCAAAAATCGATATTCTTATCAACATTAAATAAAAAAAATTATTTGTTCAATTCTATGTAAGCTTTTAATAATTATTATTTATGTTTTCGACACAATTTTATGAAATACTAAAGTTTTTTTTTAAATTTATTTAATTTTTTTTTAGTTAATAACCCATGGATTAAGAAGGATAAATCCTTTTTTCTAAAGAAAAAATTATGAAAAATATAAATAAAAAATAGTTAAATACAAATTTTTTTATTAAAATAATTTTTTTTACTTTTGATTTCATATATTTTTATAGATTCATATTATAAATAGATTATCAAACTGAAATGATTTTTTCTAAATGATTTTATATATTTTATCCAACTCGTAGTATAGTGCGGACAAAAAAACTAATTGTGTCTATTTTATAATTGTACTAGGATTTTTTATTCGGATTTTAGTTTAATATTATATAAATCTGACCCAATATCTGGTAGATTTTTAAGAAACTCTGCTCCTGAGTCCTCGCAAAAAACGTTTCCTTCTTGACCCCTTCGCACTAATCAGCCAGAGAGATCATACTAACTTTTTATGGCGTGCTTTTGGCTTTCTTTTCTAAAAAAAGGCTCTATTAATTGGAGCGCTATTAGAATAATATGAAGTGGCATTATTATTATTCCTTTTTTTCCCCTTCTTAAGATGCCAAAAAAAAAATCTTTTGAAAAAATGAGTTATGCAAGTTTCATTGATAAAAAATATTTAGGTTGGAAACTTGGAATAATTAGTTAGGGTCAAATTCAAATACGAGAAAAGCAGAGTTTTGCAACAAAAGGAGTGGATGATCATTTCAGATTTTTAAAAGAAGAGGCTTGAAATTAATAGCTCTCAGGTAAGTTGAGTAATAAATTCATTGATATCATTTCGATAGTTATAAGTTAATTCTGATGGACCTTTCAAAATTTCTTCGTGAGTAAAAATAACGAGTGTCCAAAGAGTACTCGTTAAAAACCATTAAAAATAGGTATTAATTGATCCATTGTCTTGGTAGAGCAAAATTTTGAATGAATGGATGCTAGTTTAATTAAATAAGCTAAAAGCATCTCCAATAGTGCTCTCTATTTTTAACTAATATTTTTAATATAAATAGAGAACATCATTAATTATATAGATTAAAGATTAATGTCATCTTTAATGCTATTCTCTACTTTAACTCTTTATTTTGACAAAATTCATAAAATCCAGAAAAGACTATTGATGAAGAGGTTAAGTGGCATAAGAAATAGTAATTTTCATTAATGAAATATGAGATAAAAAGTCATTTGGAATCTCTAGCATTGGAGAGCCAAAGACACTCTGTATCTTAATTTTAAAGATAGAGATTGTAATAAAGAGAGTATTGAAGATGAAATTTGGGTCAAATCTCTTTGTTATAAAGAAAAATCTTAATATAAAGAGAGCATTGAAGATGCTCCAATCGTTTAAAACTCGTTGAACTAAACTTAAAATTTGTCTATATTTTTATATACGAAGATAAAAAGGATGGATTATTGATTCTCTAAAATGATATTAAATGTTATTAATCAATATAACACAATATTATAAAAAAATTAATAGAAATGTAATGACCAAAAAAAAAAAAAAACAAAAAACAAAAATCCTATTGTGTTTTTTAAAGAATATCAGTCAATAATTCTATCTAAACACACTTGTGATACTTAAAATTACGATTTAATTAGTTTTTGTTTGTTTGAGTACAAAATTAGAAAATATTTTATATATGAAAAATTACATATCGTTTTTTAAAAAATTATTACATATTTAGTGTGCGAGTTATTTATTTATTTATTTGAGTGTTTATATTATTATTATTATTATTATTTTTGTGTGTGACTCTTATTTTTTTTCCCTAATAAAGTGCTTTTGTTGAAATTATAAACAATTTAGATTAAAAAAGAATAAAGGAAAAAAAAAAACAAACAAACAAAACAACAGCCTTGAAGACAGAGGAGATAAATTGTTAGACTGCAGCAAGTCCATTCATTTGTGAAAAAGAAAGGTTTTTTTTTTTTTTTTTTTTTTTTAAAGGAAAAAAGTTTGATTCCCTATCTAATTACAATAAGGATATGCTTGTCATTAAAAAAAGAAGAAGTACAATCCCTAGTTAAACATGCAAAGTAATTATTAAAGAAGTTAATTTTCATGGGTTAGTTGAAAAAGTTTTAATACTTAATTAACAAGTATCCTTGAGCAAAATCCTTCATCGTTTTTGAAAATTTTTCTCTCTTTCTTTTTTCTGGTTTTAAAAATTAACATTAGTTTAACCAATTGTCAGAGCATCGGCTTACTAAGCAATGTTGTGTTGCAATAAATATGTTCTCAGAAGCACTACACACACAGAGGACACATTTGATGTGCAAAAACTATTCAGATGAAGCTAGGCCTAGTAATTTTGATTCAATGTCCACAGGGGAAGCCATAAGTAATGATCATTGTAGGATACTAGGTAAAGACTAGTTAAACACACACACACACGATTAGATTAGCTTAGCGATTAGTAATTTTAGTTTTCTTAATTGTTATATAATTGGAGGAAACTATCCTTATATATAATATAAGATCCTTAATTTGAACTATCCAATGAAAAAAATAAAAATTTAAAACTAGCATAAGATAATTAATTATAACTTTTTTTGTTGTGGATGTTAATAAAAAAAAATAAAGTAAAATGTTGGTTTGCTGTTTATTGGCATTTTTTCAAACACTATTAATCCAGATTTATTTTCATTATTCACATGCATAGACTTAGATACACACTATTCCTTTTATTATGCAATGATATTTTTATAGTTTTCAAACTTTCTAAAGGTATTTATTATGAAAATTTTCATACAATTACATTTTGGTCATTATTTTTTAAAATTATTTTTGGTTATTTTTGGTTTTTTTTTTTCATTTTAGTTCCTCTTTTTAGTTTCATTTCGAGTTACTTTGGTCCTTTTTTTTTCCTTCTGATTTTTTAATTAAAAATTTTAAGATAGAAATATGTTTAGAAAAAAATAATTTATAAAATAAATTTTTAGTTAAGAATCTATTGATTTTGACATTTTTTCTTACATTATTATAATGTTTTTAGTTAGGAAGTGGATAGAGATAAAAAAATAATATTTTTTAATTAAAAATTTATGAAAAATATGTCAAATACAAAATCTTGATTAAAAGTTATAAAATTGAATGAATTTTTATTCAATTTTGCTTTTGATAGACATACAATATAAGATAAAGTATAAATTGAAATAATTTTTTAAAAATAATTTTATGCATTTTGTAAGTCGTGGGTTAAAAAAAAAAAAAAACTAGTTTAAATCTAATTTAACTTACCAATCAAATTCTACAAAATTCCCGACATCTTATTTATTTACTATTTTTTTTAGGTGGAGCTTAATTGAGAACAGAACAATTGATTCAACAAAATAATAATAATAATAATAACAATAATAATAAAAGCTAGCAAGCATGACAAAACAAAGAAAAACAAGTAAGAGCATGAAATTATGAACTCACCTGTAAAACGGTACCGTGATTGCACTTTTTCAGTGGGAATGAAACTGGAAGAGGATCATTTGAACTCATATAGCTTGCCATATTCACTGTAACCTCTCCAAGAATTCCAGATCTAGCTGATCCCTGTTATAATTCAACAATATCGATAGCCAATTCTCATTTTTATAGTAATTATGATTAAATAGCCAGAAGAACAATTCACGATTAAAGTTCCATTTAGCTAGCAAGAGAACGGATGAAGAAACTAAAGTAATTAATGAAGAATAGATATTACATAAATCTGCAATTAATGATCATTAATCAGGCAAAGCTATGGTAATTAAAGAAAAGTAATTAATACCGTGGCAACAACAAACTTGAAGAGGCAATCTTCCAGTTCCTTTGAAGACTCATCTTGTAAAGCAGTCCATATAGATTCTGTCAAAGTCTCACTCCATTGACAATTCCCATTACGAACACCTGCTTTGCTCGTCTTTACAATTGTTTTTCCAGTCTCCACAGAGATTATAGACACAAACAGCTTGTCCCATCCTTTCGGAACCTGTTAACAAACACAAATATTTTTCCAATGTCAAAACCCAATCAAGTAATTAAAAACAACTTTCCTTGACCAACTTATAGAAGAATGAGTGCGTTTAATTGTTAATTACCTGGAGTGCTTTAAAACAAGAGAGTTTGAAACCAATTTTCTCCCCTGATGATGATTTAGCAGCAGGCCTGGTCTTGTGCAACCTGAACATTTCTTCTCCTTTGATAGATGCTATTTTCAATTCTTGTTTTCAATTGATTGTCACAAATTGTCAGATAATATCAACAACATTACCACCAAGGAATTGAGAGAGAAAGAGAGAGGGGACAAGATTAGCTAGCTGGTCCTTGTTGAGAAGGGTGATATTTTATGTCTTACCAACTTTGGGCGTTACGTTAGTTACAGAATTAGAGAGATGCATGGGATATTTTTTGATTGTGACATTGACAGCACTCTCAAGTTTGCAAAAAACCAAACTACACGCCTTTCGCTTGCGAGAAGAGAATTAACCTAACCCTTCGATGCATACTATATTATCGTGTGCATATACGTTGGCTAGGTAGAAATAATGTAAATGACAAAAACAAAGACAAACATTTCATGAAATCTTTTTAGATATTACCCATGATTCGTTTCCCTCTTTGGCGGTAAGTTCTATTGTATATGCTACCTTTTGAGTTTTTCTCGTACTCTTGTGGGAGTTATGTTATATGTAAGTGAAGGGTGATGATTTATAATATATAATTCATGCATAAATGCAAAATTATTTGGTGTTTTTTTTTTTTACATTCAACTTAAATACTTAAGCCATCAGGATATGATTTAATGTTTAGGTAGGTGCTGAGGGCAGCATGTGGGAGCCAGGACCTCCCTAAAATTCAGTAGTTTTGAAATTTTTATATAGAATAACGTTCAAAATGAAGAGTTTGCTTGTTAGTACTCTAGAATAAGCAACGTGTAGATCCCTGCCTGGCTGCCTCCAATGTACTAATCTTTACTTCTTAGTAGATTCATTCGGCCCTACAAGCTAAAATTTTAGCTACGCTATTTTTTATATTATTCTTTAAATATATCCTTACAAATGAGTTCTTTACGGTTGAAACTTAGGCACGTAGATATACTGTACGCAAGAAAATATTTTGATTTAGACTTTTTTCTCTCTCATTTGTAGTGGCCTATCACTACTTGGTAATGGACTTTTAATCGAAGAAAGCGGGTGATAGGAATTGAATTTTGTCGCTGTTGGATATTCCCAAGATTTCTGAAATTTTTTTAAAGATTTATCTTGTTTGAAAATTTATTTATTTAGGGATATGAGTTATTTATTAATTTTAAAATCTTCATCTAATATTAAAGATAACTAAAAATTTAAAATGAGCACCAGTTTAAAGCTTATCGAGTAAGGAGTTAGTTATACTTTTATCAAAATTTTAATTACCCAAAGGCACCATTTCCTAAAAAAGGTACTATGCCTATCTTAGTCCTAAAATTTATTTTTAAAAATTTTTATTTTTTCCAAAATTAATCCTAGTAAAAATTTCAAGTTTTATTTCCTATATCAAACAAAGTTTTTTATTTTTATTTTTATTTTTGTGGCATCATATTGAATCAATCGTCTTACTTCTTTCTCAAGCATCTTGTCAATTCAACATCGGATCCAGTTAAAATCTTGACATAACCGGTATATCGTAAAATAATCTAATTATTAAACGTGATTGTTTTGGGCTAGTATCGGTTTCTATTAGATATGAGACTTTGTTATTATTATTATTTTTTTATATTTTTATCTTTTTCCCTTTTTATCAATTTTTCACCATTTTTTTGGTTATTTTTAGATATATATTTTTTTATAATTTTTTTTAGTCCTTCATCATTTTTTTTTATTTTTAGCATTTTTTTATCTAGCCTTTTTTTTATCATCTCTTTTTTCTATTTTTGTTTTAGCATTTTTTATATTTTTTTATTTTTCCCTAACATTTTTTTATATTTTTCCTAGCATTTCTTTTTTTATTTTTCCTAACATTTTTTCTTCTTCTCTTTCATTTTTCTTCTTTCCATTTTTCCCTTTTTTTTTATATTTGTTTCGCGTTTAGGAAAAAAGTTAACAAAAAATGATTTCCAGCCAATGAAAAATGATATAATATTTTTGGAAAAGTGTTTTCCAAGTTAAAATATATATATATATATATATATATATATTTTTCCTAGTCAACTAAGGCCTCTCTCTCACGAGTTGTCTCACTCTCACGTTACTCATCTCTCTCTCAATATATTTTAACAATTTTTTTCTTTGTCTCATTTTTATTTAAAATATATCAAATTAATTTTTAATTATTTTTCATCAATTATTATTAATTATTTAATTATTTTTTCTCTATTTCTACTAACATTTGATTTTTTGATTTATAAACACATTAAATATTCTTAAAAACCATTTTTACCCCTTAACATTATTTTATAATAAATTTTTCCATAATTTATCTCTATTTTTTTTTATCATTATCCCAAACACCACTTAAACTATACTTAAATGATTGAAAATGATTATCATAAAACTATAATCATTTGTGAAAAATTTAAAACTAACTAATTCATTAATAAATACATTATTTTTTAAATACTATTTATTTGCAACTAAATCAATAATTTGTGATTAATTTTAATCGAGTTGTAAAATTTTCTTGATAATTGTAGTCAATAATTAGTTACAAATTATTTCAAATTACTCTTTTGAAACTAAATGAATAATTATCTACAAATGATATCAAATAATTTGTAAAACTATTATTTAGACTAAATTATCACTTCAATTAAAAAAAAAAGAATTCTTAATTGAGTTACAAAAACAATACTAGGATTACTTAGAAATGTTTTCTACAAATGATATCAAATAATCTGTAAAACTATTTTTTAGACTAAATTATCACTTCAATTTTCAAAAAAGAAAAGAAAAAGAAAAAGAATTCTTAATTGAGTTACCAAATTAACAATGCTAGGATTACTTAGAAATTTTTTTTTACTAAATGTGAATATTGACTTGATTTTGTCCCAAGTAGTTTTGATGAATTAGTTTAATGGTTAAAAATGTACATTTTATTTTTTTATTTTTTGAATTTAAATCTTAGAGTTAGTATTTATAAAATTTTATTAAATTTTTCTAAATGCATTTTATATTATAAAATTATGAATATGCCACTGTTGAAGTTTTCTCAAAACTCATTGATGTAATAATTATAGACTTTTTTTGTATTTTAGTTTTACGTATCAAACAAACACTTGGATATATTTTTCGAGTAGTTTTTTCATGTAATTGTCAAAAGTTAGAAAATATTTTTTTTTGAAAAACAACTTCCTAGAAAATAGCTTCTCCAAAATTGATTTTTCTATTAGAAGTTATTTTTCGTCAAACAAACGGAGCTTAAAAAGTAAAAGTATTTGCAAATCAACAATGTCTAAGTCAACGTGTATGTGGAGATGGAAAAACTAGAGTAAGGATGAAGTTCTCACACGAGCTATATATTCAACAAATTAACTATTAATAATCATATTTATTTATTTATTTATACACACAAACACATCTATGTATATATTTTTATTTGTGTTAAAAAAATATTATGTTACAATTGTAAGATTAAAATTGTCATGTATATAGTCTTAATATGTTTAATGATAATACTTATCAAACAACCTTATTATACCAAAGAGCTTGTACCCTAGTGGTAGTGGTCTTTTGTAACAAGAGATTAAAGCGAGACTAGTTCTACTAGGAATCTTGATTGTATGAGTTTAAAAAAAAACAACCTTATTATATTAAGTACTTAATTTTCGGTAAATACCAAACGGTTTGTTAGCAATATATTCGAGTACTTAATGATTCAATACTTAATTTTTAATTTTATCAAACATCACCTAACTCTAGAACAACGGTAAATAAATAGTAAATATCTCAGTTCTTTTAATTTTTTACTTAATAATTATCAAATGACTATTTCATACAAAAGCTTAAGCTATTAGGTGAGACTTCGGAATATAATTTATATTACTATTTAACACACCCCTTAAGTGAAAGTCCTAACATTTAGGTTTAAAACTTGCACATGTTCACATTTCCTTATATTTAATACTTGAAAAAGTGGAGGTGATGCGATTTAAACTCGGGACTATATAGTCAACTAAGCTCTAATACCATGTTAAATGACCATTCTATCTAAAAGATTAACCTATTAAGTAAGACTTAGAATATAATTTATATTATTCTCTAACAATAATAATAAAATAAAAAAACAATTTTAACTTTTTAATAATTAATTTTTATTACTTAATTTTAATTATTGAATTCAAAATCGATAGGGAAATTTGAAACATGACCGGTCACATTTCTTAAAAAATAGGAAAAATCCAAATTTATTTATATCAATCAAGAAACTTATGAAAATAAATCATAAAATTTATTGGAGTAATTCAAGGGATAATTAATTAGTTGTTATGTAATAAATATGATTGATGTATTTTCTTAATCTCATTTATCACCTTTTATAATTAATAGTCATTATGATTTCTTTGCTCGTGAACAGGCGGTCATCATGTTTGAATTACATTAGTTCTTTCTCTTCTCATTAATTTTATATTTCTTTTAGTCAAAATTTAAGATTAAGAAATAAAAAACAATTCCAAATGAATTTCAAAACGATGATTTTAATTAAATAGCTTAGGTTTGCGTTCATGTTAGGGCATGCATTTTTCATGAATATCTTATCTGATGACGTAGTACTGTTCCTCTCTAGATCATGCTTAGAAGGTACAAATTAATGTTACTTTCAGCTGGGTTGTTCTTCTAGAGTGTACACTAAAATTCTTTTGTTAGTTTGATGGACTTTAATCTGCAGGATAAATTTAATAATCAAACAAGTGGAAATTTATTATTTGAATCAAAGAACCAATGGCAGGAAACAGTCAAAGTGATTTTACTTTATATATAATATGGTTAATAGCATTTGTCAAAATCTAATACTCCATGTGCCCAGAAATTACATACTGATCTCACTAGCCACTTGAAAAAAAACACACACATATATATATAATCTGGTGATTTGGTCCCGAGAAATAGTCATGCCATGTAAATGATACGGAAAAGATTGATAGTTGTTCACCTCCTCAGAAAGAAAGCAACGATAAAGAAGAAAGAGCTAAATTAATATCAGGTGATCATATGCATTCCAACACAAGATAATTCACTCATTATACACACATAAAATCCTTTGAAGCACCTCTTGGATGTTTGAAAGATGACATTGATTATCTATATAAGTAAAATCTCCAACCGTATATATTAAATATTAACCCTTATTTTGAGTGTGTTGCTTCATAATATCTTGGATTAAGAATGACAAGTTGAGGTTGGAAGATCCACCTATTTCCATAGCCTTCCTTGCTGTCTTTCCAAGCTCAATTGCTCTCTTCCTTCTGTTTTCGGCTTCCTCTCCACCTCCATCCATCAACGTAATTACTGCCTTCTTGACTTCATCTTGCTTCACTAACACTCCAACTTTCTCTTCTTCTCCCCATCTCACTGGAACCTCAACGCCTACTCGCAAACCAATCCTTAAAATCTCGACAACTAGCTTCTCATTTAAGAATTGCTCAGAAAATTGAGGCCAAGTTATCATTGGCAACCCAGAGCAGATCCCTTCTAATGTAGAGTTCCAACCACAATGAGTTAAGAACCCTCCAATTGCTCTATGGGACAAAATAAGGACTTGAGGAGCCCAGCCTTTGATCAAAAGCCCCCTTCCATTGATCCTTTCTTCAAATTTCTCCTTCACGAACCATTCCTCTAATTCAGAAGCTCTCTCTCCAGTTTTCACCACCCATATAAAGGGTTTATTTGATGCTTCCAAACCCAAACCTAGTTCTATCAACTGCGATGGCACTAGGCGACATAGGCTACCAAGGCAAGCGTAAATAACCGACCCTGGCTTCATAGAGTCAAGCCACTCCAAGCATTGTTTCTCCCCAATTGAAGCTTTGTTTCCTCTCTCAAACTTATCTAAATTCTTCTTGTTACATAAAGAAACTGGTCCAATACACCATACTTTCTTCTTTAGAGCCTTCTCGTACTCCTCTGAGCAACCATGCTCCAACTCGTCAAAACTATTAACCACAACCCCATAAGCTGTAGATTCAGCCTCTTGCATCTTGTTACGGACGTCATCCAAATCAGGTAAGCTAACAAATGCTCCCGGTAGCTGAGCCTTTGTTACCTCAAAACTTCGGGGCATCCCTGGCACAACAAAAGGTTCTGAATCTGAAGTGACAGAAAGGTGAGCTTTGTGAAGCCTGATCTTATGAGAACTCAACAGAGAAAAGCAGCACATCCCGTGGAAAACAATCCTTGGGATGTTGAATCTTTGAGCGGTTTTGGTTGTCCAGGATAAGCACTTGTCTGATATTATGCAGCTTGGAGGAGGGTTCGAATGTTCAAGAATGCTTTCCAATGGCTGTTGCAGCCTAGCAACTGCAATATAGAATTTCTTCAGGAGGTCTCTTGAAGGTAAGGTGTCGAGATTCTCGTAGCCGATAGGGAGTCCCACTTCTTCGCATGGAAACGGTATCTGTACAAGCCGGAGAGGGAGGCCAGATTCTCCTGCTCTATCAATTATTGCCGCAAATCTTGAAGCATTGTGAGGGGTAGTGACCAAACTTACAGTCACGCCACGCTCTGAAATGAGCCTGGCCATATCTATCATGGGGATCATGTGTCCCTGTGCCATAAGTGGGATTAACACAAAGTGCAGTTGGCTAAACATTGGGGGCGCCATTAGAGTAGGACTGGCAATGCTTCGGTGAGGAAACAAAAATGGTTTGTCATTTGTAGGATTTGCAATCCAATGACAGGGTCTCATTATGTGAGCTTGACTTTGAATGAGTCATGCGGCCAATGTCTGAGTTGCATGGCCAACGGACTTCATAGTTTACATGATGTAAAATGTTCGCCTCGGTACGTAAATGACTCATTCTATTTCTATTTTTATATAATTAGGTAAGTTTTTAATATGTGTTTATATTTTTAGTTATATCTATTATATTTATGTATAGTATTATATTTTTTCATATGTCTTTTAATCAATTTTTTTTACTCAAATTAACAAAATTATACTTTTCATATCAAAATTATCTTTGAATTATATAATAATATGATAGAAAAAAATTTCAAAATTACTCAAAATGTTTTAAAATAATTTTTTTAAAAAATTATTCTATCATTAATTTTTTAAAAATAACTTTTTTAAAAAAAATTAAAATTATATTCTTGCATAGTTCAATGATATTTTCAGAATAAAAAAAATATAATCATGTCAATTTTGATAGAAAAAATTGATAAAAAAATATATTAAAGAATTAAATATTTTATATGAATTTAAGAGATACCATTAAAAATATAACAATAAATTAAAAACTTGACTAATTATTTAAAAATAGATTTAATCATGTACTTGGCGGTTATGATTTCCTGTACATTGACTCGACCGATGTTGGATTTTCCTTCGATTGACTCAACGTCGTCGCATAGCACGACTGGAACTTTTATAATTTGAATTCAAGTGAAAAGCAGGCAGTAATCACATGTGGCATGTTACATGTTGCTAGCCCGACCAACACGCCCGAGTAACCCAGCAGCTGATGGGCTTGTTTTCTTTTTTAAACAAGTCATGTGGAGTGGTTCAGAAATATTTTCTCATATTGATTAGTTGTATAAACAAAATGATTGAAACTTCTACGAGTTACTTTCAACCAAGATTGGTTGTGGAAATTAAGATGTTGGTATTCAAAATTAAGAGTCATCGTCACAATCATCTCAATCTTGTCACCATATTCGATCCTTGAAGTAATTGACTATAATAATATTACATCCAAGATCGACCCTGTTAATCCATGGGCTGTAGCTTTATTTATTAATTCTCTCCTACATGTCCATATATGCTCCCATTTAGCAAACTCAGTTAGTTCTAAATAATTATAATTGTCCTCACTTCTTCTTTTTCTTGTGAATAATTTGAGCGTTGGACGAAGCTTTGCATCAATTAATCATAGATCAACGTATTTGAATTGCATGTGGAAAGGATCTTTTATATATACGTAAGTGTGTGTGAAGACCGTTGGTCGTGTGAAAGAGAATATCTGGAATGGAGGGTACTGGATGAAAGCCGCATTGTTGGGCCATTGTTATGCAAAACATTTTAGTTTGCATAGTGTGGATCCAAAGCTAAATTCCTGGGTCTTGACTCTTCGAGGTGTAGGTTGTGCTGGCGGATCTATCATTGGTGCATATAACGCTGAGTTGACTTTGACTAATTCCTTTCCGATTCTTCCAATAAGACAAATAGTATGGGGCAAGTTTTCTCAACTTAAAATTTGGTTTAATTGACTCAATAATGCTATGGCTACCGTGCAACACGCGCTAAACTAATTTTATATTTGAATAAATATATTCATTTATTTTTATATAATTTTTAAATTTTTTCATATGTTTTTTTCATTTATTTTTGAAAATATTTAAAATGTTTAATCCGTCATTTCGATCAAATTAATTTTTTTTACCAAAATATTCCAAAATGAAACTAAAAAATATAAAATAAAATTCTAAAGATTTAAAAATAAAACATGTAGGTCATGTGATTTTAAGTTTTTTTTTTTAAGACATTCGATCAAATGTCTTTTCTATAATCGAAAAGTTTGATCGAAATGACAGATTGAACATTTCAAAATTTTTAAAAATAGATGAAATGCAATTGAAAATCTAGAAGTAAATGAAAGACATTAAGTATTATATAATGATAAATGAGTGTATTTACCTTTTATACTTTTAGAAAATCAAACTAGTTTTGGATTAATAGCATAAAATGCCATTCTATTCTTCTAATTTTCTTAAAGTGGTTTTTGTATTTATTTATTTTATTCATCACCTCTCTCTATTCTTGAATTTTTCTTAATGTGACCCCTCCGACTATTTTTCGATTAAAACTGACACTTAGCATAAATAAATCCATCCGGTATGTCATATTAGATTAAGTTTTCAAATGGAAAAAAATTAAAAAAAAATTAGTCGAAACATAGAAAATTAAAAAGAAAAAAAAAGCAAAAGCAAAACACCTAATTCTCTTCTTCTCAAGCTTGCAATTCTCAATTCTCTTAATCACCAACAACTAATCAATCAATTAAGTAGAGATAGACTCGAACGCGTCTCCATCGACAATCCAAAAATCATAATTTTAAAAACTCTAATCCAAAACAACTCCAAATCCCTATCCAAAATCACTCCCTCTCTACTAATCAAAATCTCTTATTAGCAAAATCTCCTCCAATTCATTGACTTGTCAAACCCTAATACTCTCTCTCTCCCCTTAATATGCCTCACGGCTCAAGAGAAATATTATGAAAGCATTTGATCATCTCCAAGCAATATACTTATAGTTTGTGTAAACCTTAGATGCTAGTTGGAGATTTTAAAGAGATGTTAGTTAGGCGTTGAGGAAAAAATGGTGGTGCACTCTTTAATTTCTAACGATGTTTTCGGTTCGGAGATTAGGTTGAGGATCATCAACTTATTGATATGGATTTTTGGGGTTTGAAGTTTACATGAAAGGGTCGGAAAAGCCATAATTACAATAGAGTTTGTGAGCGTCTTTGTCAACGTGGGCACGTAGAGAAGGTGTAAGAACAGAAGTTGCCACCTAGCTAATCGAGAAGAACTAGAAAACCCTAAACAAATTAGTACGCATAGATATTTAGGCAAGGAGTCGGTTACGTAATGAAAACATATAACATTATCGTCATCTCGTCCTACCTAAAGTAGACTACATTGAATGTAAGTGAAAATAAAAATCTAGTTTACTCTGTTATGTTTTTATGCCTATTTGAGTGAATTTATTTTATCGAAATGAAATAGTAGAGTAATTTGAGGTTCGAGCTAGTCTAAGGCCAATACCCATACTTAAAGGGTAAAGGTGGGGGAGATTAGAATTTAGGCTAATTTTTAATGAACACAAACCTATACCGACAAGTAGGTGAGTTTTTGAAGATTATTAGCCTTTATTGACATGAACGGTAGGTCATCGATAACTTCACTCACACAAGTGTGAAGTTCCTATTGACTTTATATCATGAGTTAGGGAAGATATCGATAATTTTGTCACTTAAGTGGGAACCACTGATAATTTCATTTTGTTCGAGTGAGGAGTAGATAACTAATTTAGAAGCTACCGAGAACTTCATCACATAAGTGAAAACTCATCAATAACTTTGTTTTCGATGGGTAGAAAGCGAGATAAAATGATTTCACAACCATCGACGACTTCGTCATATAAATGGGAAGTCACCAAAAACTTCATTTCAATAATAAAAAATTAAAAATCAAATAAAAATAGTTTGAGAGCCACTAACGACTTCATCCACATAGGTGGAAAGTCACCGATGGCCTTTTTTTATGAATAAAAAGCAAGTAAATTGATTTAAAGCCACATATAGCTTCGATCACATAGGTTGGAAGTCACTTAATAGCTTTATTTTAAACAAATAAAAAATACGTAAATTGATTGGAAACCATTATAGCTTCATCACATAAATGGAAAGCTCTTAAAATTTTCATTTCAAACTAATAAGAAACATATAAATTGATTTAAAAACCATTAGCGACTTCGTCGCATAAGTGGAAAGGCACTAGCGACTTTGTTTCCAATAAAGAGAAAACATGTAAAAATCTCAAACATAATTAGATAAAGCATTCGATAATGCAATCATCCATAATATAACATTTTCATCATTCTCATTTATCATTTTCAAAAATCTACATAAGTTCAAAAATTACCCAAATGTCGTGAGAATGTTACAAATCTCTCTTTCGGATCGGTTTTACTTCCTTCGATCTCGATGAAGACTAATTATTTCAATCAGCCAAGAAGGAGGAAGCAAATATTTGTAAGTGTTGAAATGACTATTATATAGTGACTAAAATTCTTTAGTCATTTTTGAAATGACATAAATGTCCTTGTATGTTAAAATTACCAAAATACCCTTACATCATAAAATTGCCAAACTACCTCCGAAAGCCTAATAGTCACCACCAACTACTGATCATTATCATCCATCTTTTAGGTGCATGAACTAGTCCACACAATGGAGGAGGTTGTTTTCGACTCATCTATGGTGTTGGTAGTCGTTGTTGTCGATGGAGGAGGAATATCGACGATCTAAAAGCTTTGGTCATTTCTCCCTCTCTTCTTGATGAAGATTCGATGATATTAGGGGATTTTAAAGACACCAATTAACTTGGAAGGCTTCGAGAAGTGTTTCGTGATTGTTAGGAGGTTTGATTAGGTCTTGGTTGGTCGATTCGATCAAGTCTTTACAAATGGGTCGGGAAATGGGTTTGGTGTTGATTTGCCATTTTTGGTGTTTTTAAGCCATGACTTCAAGGGCGAACCACTTTTAGAAGATAAGGAGCATTTCTATGGTGGTGTTCGGAAGTGGTCCGATAAAAAATGGGAGATTCAATCGGATATGAAATCGGGTTAGCTCATCATGGTTCTACCTTCGATTTTTCCCTCTTTTGATGTCTTTTTCTTCTCTAACCAATAGGGATGGGATGATCTAGAGTCAAACTATCAATTGGTGGTAGTGGTTGGAGGCAATATCAACCCAAAGATGATTGATTTGAGAGAAGAACTTTTAGTAGGTGTAGCGGGTAAACGATGTGCGTTTGGTAGTTTTGTTAGTTTTTTAGTGTTTTTTTTGGGATATGTGTCTCTCTTAAATTGTTGAAGGGGTTAGATATTTAGAGTGAAAAATTAAGGTTTTGGGCAAACGAGTAATTTTGGTCAATAGTTTTTTTGAATTTTCAATTTCGGTTCAATTTTGTTTATTCATATTTCAATAGCACTCCTAATTACAATTAATTAGGACCTTTTTTTTTCAATTTCCCTCAATTGTACCATTTCTTTCTTTTAATTAAGGATTTGTGATTTTGAACTTTTCAATTGCACCCTCAATTGGGTTTTCTTTGGTTCATAAACTTCTCATTTCTTTTAATTAGACCCTTAAATCTAATTTGAGCCAATTATTTTAAGTAATTCTCTTTTATTTTATTTTAACTCATAAAATTTAAAAATTAAATAGAGTAAAAATTAGGTGTTAATAGTCTTTATAGCGTTTTTTGCTAGTTGGAGTGGAGTATAAAGTTTCTTGAGGTAGTGGTTTGGCACCTATCACTACTTAATCACTATCTTATTGTGAAGATGATTATAAGATTATTATGTAGTAAAAGGAACTCTATTTGTTTTAGAAGTCTAGAGTTATAGGGATTTTTTTTCTTTTTTAGATATATAGAGATAGTGGGGTATTCTTGAGCTTGCTTTTACATCGATTGAGACTAAGTCCATCACTTTTAGTGCCGAATACGCAAGCCTTTGGTCCACTAGAGTCTTTTGTAGACCAAAAGAGCCCAAGTCTAGTACCACTAAGAAATAATTATGGTTGATTATCTATGGAGAATTGAACATTAGTCTTTGCCAAATCAAGACAATCTCCTTACTCGCTAGACAACATCCCTTGGTGTTAATTGGATTGAATCTTTTTCATGCCACCAACTTTATTCATAGGAAAAGAAACCAAGTTGAGTTGAGTTTTCTTATGGGCTTTATTGATAATAACACAAGGAAAAAAGAAATTGTAGCGGTACTAGTGGAAAGAAAAAGAGAAAAAGAAGAAGGATGGCAATAATAGCACCTAGGCGACTAAATTTGAACGAGTCACCATTATAGGATCTAGAAGTGTTGATTGTTTTGAAAAATTAGAACAAATTGGTGATGGAACTTATGGATCGATCAATTGTTTTTTTCTTTTATTTCTATTTGTTTGTGTTTTTTTTTAAGCTTTCTAATTATTTTTAGATTATCTTTATATGATCAATTATTTTTTTCCTTTATAAATTATGTCAAGGAAAGATAAAAACTTACTTACAATTGGGTTTGTTTTTATTGTATGCATTCAAGTCTATATGGCAAGAGAAATGACGACATGTGAAACTCGTTGCTTTGAAAAAAATAAGAATGGACAATGAGAGAAAAAAAGGTAACTTTCTTTCTTTGTTTCTTATTTTATTTTTTATTTTTTTGTACTTTTCTATTTTTAGCTAATTTTTCATTTTCATTTTATTTATTTTTTTTTCATGTGACAAATTAATTTGACACAACACACCATGTGGATTTTTCTATTCCAAATGTCCACATTAAGAAAAATTCAAAAGAAAAGAGAGGTGATATATATATATATATATATGACCTAAATTAAAAAAATTAGAAAAATAAACACTATAAAAAACAACAAAAT